AATTAAATAAATAAATAAATAAATTTAATTATAATGAAAATTTGGGGTACCTAAAGTATAAAATTTGAATCCAGGTGTGGTCCCCTGCACCTATAATCCTAGCCATTAGCTGAGCGTGGTGGCACACGTCTGTAATCCCAGCACTCGGGAGGCTGAGGCAGGAGGATTATTGTGTGTTTGAGTCCATCCTGGGCTACAAAGTGAGCTCAAGTCCCGCCTGAACTGCAGAGCGAGACCCTGTCTCAAAAAGACAAAAAAAGTAAGGGGCTGGGGATTTAGCTCAGCGGCACAGTGCCTGCCTGGCAAGCACAAGGTTGTGAGTTCAATTCCTGGTACCAGAAAACAATCAAGCTAACAAAAAAAAACCCCAGCCATTGCAGTTAAGGCAGGAGGATCACTGAGAGTTTGAGGCCAGCCTGGGTTACACAATGATTTTTTTTCTTTTGTTTTGAGGCAGGGTCTTGCTCTGCAGTTCAGGCTGGCCTTGAGCTCACTTTGTAGTCCAGGCTGGTCTCAAACTCGCAATGATCCTCCTGCCTCAGCCTCCCAAGTGCTGGGATTACAGGCATGCACCACCATGCCTGGCTACACAGTGAGTTCAAGCCCAATTTGCACTACATAGCGAGACCCTGTTTAAAAAAAAAAGTTAAAGGATACTGGTTATTTATTTATTTATTTAGTCTTTTTGAGACACGGTCTTGCTATGCAGTTCAGGCTGGCCTTGAGTTCACTTTGTAGCCCAGGCTGGCCTCAAACTCACAATCCTCCTGCCTCCACCTCCCAAGTGCTGGGATTACAGACATGTGCCACCATGCCTGGCTTTTGTTTGTTTTAGAATAAGAAAGTTGTTTGTTTTGAGACAGCATTTCACTATGTGGCCTCCTCAGTGATCCTCCTGCCTCAGCCTCTCAAATTCTGAAATTATAGGCATGTGCCACCACATTCAGCATAGAATAAGAGATGGGCGTGGTGGTGCACGCCTGTAATCCCAGCACTTGGGAGGCTGAGGCAGGAGGATGAGGCCAGCCTGGAGTACATAGTTCAAAGCCTGACTGAACTACACAGTGAGACCTCCCACCTCAAAGAGAAAGAGAGAGAAAGAGAGAGAGACAGAGGAAAAGAAAGAAAGAAAGAAAGAAAGAAAGAAAGAAAGAAAGAAAGAAAGAAAGAAAGAAAGAAGGAAAAGAAAGAAAGAAGGAAAAGAAAGAAAAATCAGCATAGAATAAGAAAGTTTATTGTTTTGCAGTGTTAGGGATGGAACCCAGGGTCTCTTCCATGCCACATAAGCAAAGTACCCCCAGCCCTCGAATGAGAAACTACTAGCCAGGGTTGTTACGTCCACATTAAATGGTCTGGTAGCTTTTGTCCCTTTTTTGTTTGTTCTGACACGGGACCTCACTATGTTGTCCAGGTGGGTCTTGAACTTGCTGGGCCTCCGGATGAGTGGCAGGGGGCCAGTGATCTTGTCCCTCTTAATGGGGATGGCTGTTATTAATTCATTATGTTGTGCTGGGAAGATGCTAAGGACTTTACAAATTACTTCTTCCCACTTATCATGTCAACTAACAGGTCAATGATTGTGTGTGTGTGTGTTGGGGATGGAACTTAATGCTCGATCTCTGCACCCACAGCCCTCGAAGATCTTCTGAGGTGTTATCATTACTATGCTGATTTTACAGATGAACAAAGGGAGGGACTAAGAGATGAGATAAATTGCCCAAGGTCACACAGGCAGATATGGCAGAGCTGGAACCGGGCTTCTCCAAACCCAGTCCAAATCAGTCTGACTCCAAAGAATACGGCACAAACCACCACACTGAGCTTCCCAAGGATGTCCCCAGGCACTGACGCCCTCAGCCAGGCGAGGGTGGCCAGAGCTCAGGCAGACAGCCTTGGTCGGCCCAGAGCATCGCAGCCACTGAGCGCCCTAGAGTAAAGCTGTGCAAATGCCATAGTATCGTCACTGAAGGCACCTCACTGTAGGAAACACTGAGAAGCACTGCAGACTATGACTCTACCTTACTGCTTGACTTAGGAATCTCATGGGGTTTTTGGCCATTTAGTTTCTTTTTTTTTTTTTT